ATTCTGATGGACCAAATAAATCAAGCAAGACTTTAAAGGACCTGACAAATCCCTTCTTGCTTAGATTCACTTAGAGATATAAAACATATATTACCGTTTAGCACATGAAGATAACACAAAATAAAAATGTTGCTATAAAAAAAATTAGGCCTTAAAAATATAGTGGGACTTTATCACTACAAAGCTGTCATGTTGTTTATTTTAGCTCTTGGCATTTATCATGATGAATAACTGATGCAAAAAAAAAAAAAAAGTCTGTCCTTCTCGCAGTGCTTGCAGCCAACTGATAGCTTTTTCTGTGTCATCCCCAGGAAAGCCTGTGTCAGAGCCTCCATCCCTGGCATTCCACATTACCAGGGGCTGGTTTTGTCATCTGGGGTGACAGGAGAAGGAGCTCTTTGCTCTGGACAGCCCTGGAGCAATGCTGTGACAGCCGCTGTGTTTACGAGGACGCTGGGGAGAACACGAGGAGTCACCCCAGCACTGCTGGCTGGTGGAAGAATTGGCTGGCAGTGTCCTCCCCTGGTTTGGGATCGAGCTGGTGCAAGAAGCTGGGCATGTGTCCTCTCTCAGCACAGCAAACTCCACTCTGCAGAAGCAAGTTTTGCCCTGTTTTATACGTAGGAAGTGCCTTGCTGACAGCACAGACCAGATCTCACCAATATGTGGGCAGTCATTGTCCTCATGCCATGTTCTGGCTGCAAGACACCAAGAGGCTAAAAATTAACATTTTACCAGACTCTTCAAATTTATGACTAAGATGGATCATTACAGCCATTACTGTATATTGTTCACTTCAAAGACCAAATAATTTCCCCCAAAGGATCCCTCCTTGGGTCCACAACTTTAGCAGCTGTGAGCTGTTGCAGGAGAGGCAGCTTGGCTCCCATGACAAACTTGGGTTAAAGAAGGATCTCCTATTTGCCTGGTAGGTTGGTGTGATGAAAATGGGGCCTCTCTCTTTTATCTTCATGCCATCAGATCTCATTATACCTTTTTGTTGGTTTGGTTTGGTTTTCTTACACTAATGTCTTCACATACAAATCTTTATCACATGTAAGCATTTGGCTACTGGGAGTGAGACACCTCAGTGGGTTTTTTTCCTAAGTAAACACTCTAAACCAAGTTTCTTTGGTCTTTCCCTGCTAGGAGGATTTCCAAACTTCCATGTTTATCTTAAACCCTCTTTGTCTCTTCAGTTTTCTTTTAAAAGCATGGACATTGAAACCATGAACCGCCCTTTACTTCATTTACAGTGGTACAACAGTTCTCTGACTTTATTAAGTTGTCTTCTGTTTATGCATTCAAAGGCCCCCTTTCCATTCTGAGCTACTATGTAAAACTAGGAATAGATACAGTGACCTATAAGTCCTTTTTAAAACCACTGCTTTCCCAAACGCAGCCCCTGCTCTTCACATTGAGATGTGCACCACTGATTCCTTCATTCAGCTGTCTTAAAAACACCAGTCTGAGTGACTACATTTACTGCACTGTGCAGATTGGTCTGTAAAAGTAATTTGCCAATATTTATGAAATATGGCAGTAAGAAAAGACTCCCAGCCTCCAGCCACAGGGAAGGATAGCTTTTGATTTTTCTGACCTCCGTGCTTACAGGTGAGGAAAGACAAAAATGAGAACTTAAATGCTTTAGAGTGGTATTGCTGGTGGAAATGGAAATAGAGAGGTATGTCTTCTGGTAGATGTGACCAAACCAAACCTGAAACTGCAGTCTGGCTGAGTTAGCTCCTCCATGCAAGTTTGTCACAATTGCAGGCAAGCAGATTACAGATCATACAGTTTTTATGAAGTAAAGATAAGGAAATCACTGCATACAGACTGAAAAAGCTAGATTCAGAATTAGTCAGCCTGTTAATATGTGCCATGGGAGGGAGCAGGGCAAGAATGAACTACAAAAGGTGAAAACCTTGGAAAACATGGGAGATGACACCATGGACAATAAAAAGGAACAGCATCTAAAATAGAGGCAGTGGTCTGCAAAGGGCAAGAAACAAATGGAAGAGGCTAATATTCAATAATCCTGCTTTATGTGTTCATTCCAAGATACATTGCTTTCCAAGCCTGCACAAAGAGCAATCTGCAGCAGTTCGGAGTCTACAGCAACAGAAGAAAAACAGTAACAGTCTTCAGAAGGAGCATCTTGCTCTCATCCACTGGCTTGAAGATTAAAGCAAAAAAATCCAACCAACCAACCAAAACAAAAAAATAGTTTGCACCTCAAGCACTATTAAGACATTATATGGGAAATGTTCCAAGGACATTATGTCTTCTTTGCAGAATGAATGCAAGTGTCTTTCACAAACTTAAAAGCTAAATTAAAAATTTAAGTAAAGATTTAAGGCAAGCTTTTTATGTTGGACTCAAGGACCCACCTTGTCCTCTGTGTGTAGCTTTGACATTAACTGTGTTCAGTGTAACCACAGACTTCTCCTTAGATAACAAAGGGGATAGATGTTTGTGGTTTGCAGGGCAGAGGCTAAGAATTTTGGCCCAAGCACTCCTGGTGGGTGATTTTATCACAGTACAATGCTTTGGAGAACCTTGAATTGGGTGCAATTGTTCAATTTTGTGTATGAAGCTCAGCTGAACTCTGGCCCACCAGCAAGAAAAAAGCCCCTTAGAAGTTAAAGAAAACAGAGGCATCATCTGGAAAGCTGTTTCCAGGATTCATCTATAGTTTAATGAGAGTTGAAAGCCTCTCGAAGGAGCTCCCTATCTCAGGGTTTGTGAGTGCTGTAACCAGCACAGTGTGGAGTTCAGGGCTGGCTGGCTACCCAGGCCCTGGTGGATTTTGCAATGCACCAAACTTGGCAGGTTGATTACACTGTTTGGGGAGGAAGAGAGTCAGGGAATGTCAGTCTGAACTCTGTCCATTCTTAAGAAATATCATGGAGACATGCCTGGAGCAGGTTTGAGTCCAGCAGTCATTGTGCCCAGCACAAGCTCTAATGACTCTGCTGATGGGCACTGACAGCCACAGTGCTCCGTGTGAGAAATGCCCTGCCCTGAAAATGCTTAGAGAAGTGACAGCCAGTCACTTGGCCTTCTTTCTGATCATCCATTCCTGGGTGCTCTGATGAGATGTCTTCTCATCCTTCAGCTGATGTTCCTGCTATTTCTCCTGCAGTTGATCCGGAGGAGAAGCACCTGCAGTGTCTCACCTACCACGTGTCAGTGCCAGACAGCTGATTGTCAGCCTACCTGGAACTGTCTAGACGCAGTGATGTGCTGTCAAATGCTCAAAGTTAACAAAATGATAGGGGAGAATATTTTCCCCGTGAATCCTCTTTCAGTCATGATCTCCGAGGTTATTTGTGTCAGTGGAAGTACAACATTTTCAGATGAAGACACAATTCAGTGAATCAACTCTGCCTCTTTAAGATGTTCTAGGGTTTGGGGTTTTTTTTCCAAAGTCCATACCTGTCATCAGCTCAGGCTTACACAAATTCCCCAGGCACATGCAATGCTGCAGTTACAGGTAGTTTGCACTTATTTAACAGCTAATGTCAGTAGATAGTGGTCTCCTGCTGCTAGATAAAGCCAGAAGGAAATCTGTGACAATTTACATTCTGAGGCCATTTAAAAATTAAGGCTAGTGGCTTGGAAAAAAAAAATCTTTTTTTAAACAGAACATCAGTATCTCTTCTTAGCTTGCTTCCCAGCAAAAGAGTGAGGAGCAGAGAAGGGTGAATTATGCCAGCACCATTTAAAATCCAAATAGATAGGATCGTCCCTATGAATGAATCCTGCCATTCTCCTCTCCTGTCTTTTTGCCCTTTTCTGAGCACAAAGACTTACTGGCGTCTGATATGGCTCAAGTCTGTGACATGACCCAGCTACAGGCTCAGCTGCTGGTGAGGCTGCCAGGTCTCTCACAGAACGCTTTACGTGGAAGATCTCTGTGCTCTGAGCCAGGAGCTGCGTTGCATGGCCGCTGTCTGTGGCAAGAACAAACCATTGAGGAGGAAGATCAGGGGAACAGGGCCAGCCTCATTCCCTTGCAAGAATATTTGTAACATGGTTTTGCTCTGTAATATGTACCAAAAAAAAAAGGGGTATTTGTGGGATTTACAGGCTAGGCCGTTGCTGGCTTTTGAGGGTGCCTTGAGGCTATCTCCAACACCAAATCCTAGCAGACAGATGGTTGGATGCACTTCACCAAATGTTAGAAGTTAGACATCAAAGTCTAACTTACTCATCCTAAAGTTTCTAGAGGACAGTTCATCTGGCCTGTTTTAAAGATTGTTTTAGGATGACATGAATAATAATAGGAATTCCCTCTATTTTTCTGTGCTGACTATAAATGTAGCCTCTTAACTTTCAGATACCTCAGGGTGCTTCAAGTCTGCAAGTCTGGCTCCAGACAGACAGCAGAGCATGAAGGGTCTAAACCTGCAGGGTCTAAACCTGGAACCAGGTCTGAGGCTGGCCACAGCAGTCTGACTTTCCCCCTCCTGCTGCAGTGTGAGCAGATCAGCAGAGCATGGTGTTGGTACCGCAGCCGGAGACACAGCTGGTGTGGAACCAGCAACACCCAGACAGAGCCAGACTTTCCACTTTCCAAACAGGGCAGGCATGTGGAAAACGTTGCTGCAAATGGTCCCTGGCCTGACCTACATCCCAAACCATGCCCAAAACTTGTCTGTAAAGAGCAACTGGCCCAGGGCCCAGCCTTTTCCAGGACTGCAGCAATCAGAGAGCATGGACAGCAGAGCTCTGTGTGTTGGGTTTTCTCATCTGCATCTGCTTGGTGCTGGGTTCAGGCTGAGATGTCCCCCAGGCTTTGGCATCCTGTCCTGCTGCACAGCAGACCTGACATCCTTCTTGGAGCCACTTGGAATTACCCTTCAGTAGGGTAATACCTATACTAGGCAACAGGCTGGGGTGCAGGGTTGGAGGTTTTGTTGTTTCTAAAAGTTTCAAGCTTGGATCTGTTTGTTTTCTCAAGTTTGGGATTTTTTGTTTTGTTTTGATTTTTTAAGGTACTGAGAAAAAGCCTTGCTGTCCCAAGCATCCTCAGCACAATCACAAGATGAAGCCTCAGGTCTCCAAAGGTAGGCATGATAAACTCAAAAATTAAAATACAAATCTGTTGATTACCAGAATTTCTACCAGGCATGTAAATCTCTGGTGTAACAACATAGTGCCCAGCACAGCTGGGAAAACTGACATGGTCACTGTATGACAAGGTCAGGACAGGGATTGATCTGGGAGCTCTGGAATTCCCTTCCTTGCTGATCTTGCACAACATCACTGCTTGCCAGCTGTTGCCTTTGCCTCCTGTTCTTCATCCTGCAAGTTTTTAAACAACTTTTTATATTATTGTACATTTGCATTTCAGTGTGCTCATGAAGAGAAGCCTAGGAAACTTCAGTAAAATTTTTTTCACCTTTTGATTTTTTTCCCCCCCCATTTTTGTACAGTTTAATATCTAGATGTCAGGTGTTCTCCTATAGAGGTCCTGAGAAGGAATTTATGATGATTTTGCTGCCCTTCATGTCAGTGGACAGCCATCAATATCTGCCAGCTTTGTCAGTGACAGCAGCTCCATCCTGCATGGGATGAAGGAGCTGGTGTGTGGTTGCATCTCACACAAACTCCCCCTTCACAAAGAGCCAGTAATTGTTAAATAAATTATATGCTTTATTGTCCGCATGTTAATAACTCTAATCCCACCTCCAACTACCACGTTTAGAAATGTGATTAGGGAGGATTATACCTCACCTAATGCCTAATCAGTTGTCTGTTCCTGGCTGGCCTTTTATTTCCACACACGCAACAAAAGGGATCTAATCAAACATCTTGCACGCACGGAAAATGCCGAGCGAGTTAAAAATCAGTTGAGTGAGAGCAGGTAGCAGCTAGAAACCAGACGTGACTGAAACATCAGCCAGTGTGGTCACAGCTCTGGGCAGCACCCAAACTCACACCCCAAGCATTTGTTTAGGCTGATGAAAAACCAAAAGGGCTGGAGGTAGATCTCCACCAGATTTTTTCTTTTTTCTTTTTTTTTTTTCTTTTTTTTTTCTTTTTTTTTTTTTGGACAAAATGTGGTTGGGATTTTTTCCCCCCTCCTCACACAGTTCTTGGTTTTATTTTACTTTACATAGGAAAACATGGATGCCTTTTCCAGCAGTATTAATGAGCAGGCTGCTGAGTGCCACATTTCAGAAGCTGCCTGAACACCGTCCCTCGGAGCTGGTCCCTGAGCACCACTCCTTGCTCCCTCTCTTCATGTGAGGTTCAGTTGCTAGGATAGTAAACGTGAAGTGACGTCCTGCTGACCCAAAGTAAAAATTTGGGACACTTTTTGAAGTTTCCATTGGGTGAAACTTCAGTGAGCAGAGTCACAGGACAGGATGCCTTTCCCCCTTGACTGTGCAACCTGAAATCCAATCTGCTCCACCTTTCCAAGGATTCATATCACACAAGCACCCAGAAATAATCACCTCTTCCCCTAACAGAGATAGGGGCAGACAGGCAGAACCTCATGGAGTTCCCCAACTACTTTAACACCAAGAGAAATGGCTTAGTGAGAACCAGTAGGGTCTAGAAATCCCCTTCCAAAAAGATGAAATACCAAAAAAACCTTCCCTACCATAAGTTGGCATAACCCTGTTAGCACAATGGGAGCCACCCCAGTTATCCAACTGAGGTTTAGCTCCTATTTCTTGGGGCACCAGCTCTGCCTGCTTTCTCCTTCCTTTGACACATCCCCACACACAGCAACCACTCGTGGGCAGGCAGAGCCAAAGGGACACAGCAACTGGGAACAGAGGTTAGAATTCATCCCTGGTAGCTGCAGTACAAGGAAGAAGGTTTGTCAAGTCTGTACTTGATGTCTACTGTGTACTGCAACAGCACACTGGAGCTGCTGCCAGGGCTGGAGCCCCTGTGCTCTGGAGGCAGCCTGGGAGAGCTGGGGCTGCTCCCCTGCACAAGTATTCAGGCTCCAGGGAGAGCTGAGAGCCCCTGGCAGGGCCTAAAGGGGCTCCAGGAGAGCTGCCCAGGGACTGGGGACAAGGCCTGCAGGGCCAGCACCCAGGCAATGGCTTGCCAGTGCCAGAGGGCAGGCCCAGCTGGGATATTGGCAAGGAATTGCTGGCTGGGAGGGTGGGCAGGCCCTGGCACAGGGTGCCCAGAGCAGCTGGGGCTGCCCCTGCATCCCTGCAGTGTCCAAGGCCAGGCTGGACAGGGCTTGCAGCAGCCTGGGACACTGGAAGGTGTCCCTGCCCATTTGGAATGAGATGATGTTTAAGGTCAATTCTAACTCAACCCAGTCTATGATTATATAGATCTTCTAAAATTCAAAAAGAAAATAAAACCACATTTTCAAGTTGTTTCCCATTGTTGGCACTTTTTTTTTTCAATAAAGTTAGTTCTCTTTTGCTTTTAGTTTATAATTTCAATACCATGGTGAAATCTGAAATGCTGGGAGGCTGTGGAACCTTGGTGCTGTTGGTTTGTCTACAGTGTTTGTTATCAGGAAAGCCAGGGACTATGTTTAGGGGAGAAGAAAGGAACAAATATTTGGCAAAGAACTGAAATTATGTCCTGAACATCAACACAGATGCAAATCAAAGCATGATTGTGGAGAAATACCCAAGGATTTAGCAATTCTGGATTAGAAAGAGGATTTCAGCCATGTATTTCAAATCTCTAATCTCGAGTGAGCAAGTAATCTAAATCCACCTAATAACAATGAATGAAATTATAGCTTAGCCCTTTTTGCTTCATATAATTCAGAATAAATGTATTTCATGAGCTTTCACTGGAGCATTACTTTACATTGCAGTGATTTTAAATACTGAATTTTAAATCTGTTCTCTTGGTTGACTGAAGCCAAACTTTCTCCCTGATTTTAGTTTACAGTGTTGAAAAAACTGCAGTGTACAGCTGGGTGCTCATGTAACCCCAGCTGCTCCCTTACTAGACCTCTGTCTGTGAATCTGCCAGCTTGGCTGCTTCAGAGAATTCCAGGTGAAGATCAGGTTTTGGAAGGACCCAGATGAGTTGTGGTTGAGGCTGCAGCAGCCACCTTTCTGATGGACACCTTGAAGTGATCTTACACAGCCCAAAGATGCTGTTTAAAGCCATTTCAGCAAGGCAGCACTTGGAAATTCCATCTGAGGACTGATGCCACACAGTGAAAGTGGGAGATGCTTTGGTAGTGGCCAAGCTCTGGGCTGAGCTTGCTGTGCCTGGGCACAAAGGTAGACTGGAGTCATCAGTAGAAGTGGAATCAGGCCATATCTGAAGATGGCTCTTCCCTGTGAGTGTTCCAGGACAGGCTGGATGGGGCTTGGAGCAACCTGGTGTAGTGGAATGTGTCCCTGCCCATGGCAAAGTGTGGAATGAGATGATCTGCAAGGTCCCTTCCAGCCAAACCATTCCATCTGTGAAGAGGGGCATGAGGTTCATACAGGGTTTTGTTGTAGCCCCCCCAGCACAATGTAGCAGCTTGTTGGCCAGTGGTGTCAGGGGCTGCAGCTCTGCCTCTCACTCAGAGATGGGCTCAGCCCTCCTGTTGTCCTCTCCATGGTCTTGAGGAGCCTTGGATGGATGAGAGCAAGGGGGAGCACTTGTGGAACTTCCCTGTGGCTGAGCAGAGAGAAGGAGTGATCAGAAAGACACTGATCCTCCTCCTAGGGAGGGCAGCAGCCTGAGTCTGCACTCACTGTATTCTGGTTTATGCTGTGATTTCAGTCTTAGGGAAGAAAAAAGAACCTGTAACCCAAGGAGTGGTGACTCAAGGGCTGTGCCTGTGGTGCCTCCCACGGCCAACAGCTGCTGGGGAATCCTGGAGTGGCTTGGATTGTTAAGGACCTTAAAGATGATACAGCTCCAACCCCCTGCCATGGGCAGGGACACCTTCCACCAGAGCAGGTTACTCAGAGCCCCACCCAGACTGCCTTTGAACACTTCCAGGGATGGGGCAGCCACAGCTTCTCCAGGCAGCCTGTGCCAGGGCCGCCCCACCCTCACAGGGAGGAATTTCTTTCTAATATCTAATCTTACCCTGCCCTCTGTCAGTTGGCAAGCATTCCCTCTTGTCACTGTGTGCTTTTGTAAAAAGTGCCCCTGCACCAAAATCCGATCCTGCAGTCAGCTGGCACATTCATCCTCCCCAGGCCTGAAGCCTCTGTGCAAACCATGGCCTGCTCAGACCAAAAAAAGAGAGGTGTTCACCTTTTTCCCAGTGATGATCCACTTCTCCCCCTGCCCTCCAACCTGACCCCTCCCAGGATGACCTAAAAGTGTGAGCCCATGGGAGCACAGTTATGTCAGACACTGCCCAGACCTTGCTTCAGCTTCCACATCCCCCAGATGGCTCAAGAAGTCGTGACCTACCATTTTCTAACTAACATGATGCAGTCTTGGCTGTTCTTGTAGCCAAGGTGGAGTTTTGAAAGCTAGAGTAAATGGGAATTAAAAACACTGGAGGAAATACTGAGTGGAAGGAGGCAAACAGCATGGATGAGGTTAGCAGATTTGGGAGATAGCACAGTTGAAAATTCGGTGTTCGGTCCTTGACACATGCCAAACTTTAGCCTCAAAGCTGCTTCATCAGGACACCAGGGTACCAGCCTGGAGGAGCCAGTGTGTTCCCATCTTCCCACACACAGAAGATGGCTTTTAAGGCCACGTCCAGGAGGGCAGGAGAAGCTGAGGGCTAGCACACTTCAGCAGCTGCTAAATTACCTCTCCTGTGACAGAAATTTCCAGCACAGAGACCATCTCACCAGCTGCCTGACAAGTCTCAACACAAAGCAAGAGAAAAAGCTGCCCACTTTGGTCACTTCTGCCAGTGAAAACTGCTCCCCCAGCAGCCTCCAGCTCTGTCTGCTTGTGACTGATCCACAGGTGTCTTTTTAGCTATCATACTTTTTCCCCTCCTCTCTGCCTTTTTAAGAGACAAAAATTCAGCTGCTGGATGAATGCTGACCTGCAAATTGGGGAAAGTGCATGGTGGGGAGGAGGGACAACACACTTTTGCCTTCTTTGTACCTACAAGTAAAGAAAGCAACACCAGCAAACTTGTACTTCAAAAAAAAAAAAAGGAAAAAAATTAGAAAACAGTGAGATTCCTTTTCCCCACCATTATTTGTATTTTGCTTTGGCTGTGTCTTGGATGTGAGGATGGGTGTTAGAAGCAGGGACCTTTGAGGGCTTCAGGACACAGCTCAGGCTTGACCAGAGCAACACACACAGCAACAAACACAGGGGCCATACTTAGAGCTACCAGAGCACTGCCAAATCAGGCAGCTGAATCCCATTTTAGGTATCCACATCCAAAAGTCAAGCCGTAAATAATAATTTTCAGCCATTGTTGATGTTTGTCATCATCTGTCAGACCCTGGACAAACCACCCGAGTCACTGCAGTGGCATCACTCCCCACTGCCCCTTCACACTCAGCACTTGTGGTTTATCTAGCTTGGGTTTTTTCTGCCATCCCATGGCCTGCTCTCTCCACACCATGATCCCACTGCTGCTTTTTGCTTTCAGTGCCTCTGAAAAATACACGTATTCCCAGCAATTTCCCACCCACCCATTCTGTGTGCTCTGAAAGGGCTTCTGCCCATGCTGGATGGTACAGAGAGCACTCTGTCGCAGCTGGGATGTGCTGGTGACCTCCCCTCAGACTCTGAGATCTGGATAACCAGCCTTCAGCTTGCATTCTTGAGAGCAGTGTTAGCTCCTGCAGAGGCAGATTAGGCCTCAGAGATGTCCTTCTGCCCCCACTCAGTCCCTTCTTTTAGCCTTGGTTCGATATCAGAGTCCCCTATTGTGCAGAAGCAGCAGCCCTGGTGTCACAAAAAGGGGGCCACTCCAAGGCTGAAGCCTATTTCTCAGTTGGTTAAAATAAATAGATTTTTCTCCCAAGACATAACAGTTTCCACTGAGGATGCCAGTGTCCCCCACAACTGTCCTTCCTTGGACTAGAAGAGAGCTATGCAAGGGCATTGCTATTCGTCTAGCCATGTGTTTTACCTTCTCACTAATGAAAACCATCCCTGTTTTTCCTCTCAGAAGCTGAAACGGGCTCCCATCCCAGCTTGTCTTTGAAGTTACGGTTTCTGACTTTCTCTGTCTCTCCCTCCTACCTACCCTCCTCATTTTGAAGTGAGGGATCATCCAAGGGACACCAATGTGTGCTTGATTGAGAGCCCTCCAGCTCTGCTCCAGAATGGAGCAGACCAGACTGATAAACCGATATGCACCATCCATCTCCAAGGAAAAGGCTTTCAAACCCATACAGCTCCCATCCTGAGACACAGCCCACAGCTGTGCAGGCTCTCAGGGAGGTGGAAAGGCAGCTGTGCCCACCCCAGGGACAGAGTAAGTCTCAACAGCAGCTCTAACCCCTTTGGAAAAAAAATAGATTTGTTTTCCTGGGGCACAAATACTAGTAATATTCCAGGAGTTCAATTCGATCATCCTTGTGGGTCTCTTCCAGCTCAGGATATTCTATGATTCAAATACTCATCAGGAGCCCACAGCCTGGAAAAGTCAGTTTGGGAAAGAAACTGTGGCTTTCTAGTAAAGTTTGGGATGTTTTCAATCTCTGATCCTCAAAACTCAAGTCAGTGAACTTAAACCACTACAGATGCTCTAGGGTGTCTTTCTAAAACCTTCTCCTCCAGCTCAACTAAGAGTTGTGGGATTGACACAGAACAACCCCTGTCTCAGCAGAGGATTTCATGAGCCACCAAAGCTATCAAAACTCTCTCTGTAGCCAATTGTGTGTTTCATTGTGCATTAGATATTTCTTCTAGGACAGAATGGGTTATTCCTTAAACCTCTGACCACCACACACAGAAATGACCTGGATGTCAAGGCACCCTACAAGAGAAATTCCATGTTTTGTTCTACAGAAGTT